ATTTTTAGTGGCTGATTTATGTATGTTGAATTCAAGAATTCAAAGCTGTATTTGAGCTAAGTTTTGTGAAGCACCTGAATTCAGTCAATCTGAGTCAATCTCTCCAACTCCAGTCTTTCATGACATCATCATGACTATTCATAACCCTCCCAGCCCTGACTTTTGTATAATGGGACCAAATATTCAATTATATACTTAATAATAATACATAGTAGTACATGTATATAGTTTCTTAGGTCTGAAATAGAATCTACTACTATTTCACATAAAAGTCATAGTTTACCAATATCTTGAATTTCTAATTGATACTCAAAGTGCTATTTACCTTGGTCATCAAGATTAAGGTATATTAGGTCCCAGCGTATCAAACTTTGCTAACTATAGCACTTTATAAGGTTCTGACACTTTATTTATAAATATACAAAAAAGCATGTAGACTAGATCAAATCTAAATTGCATATAAGAATCGCACTCCTCTGTCATTCTCCTCATAACAAAATTTCAAGGTTTCTCTATGTTACCAAGCTAAACAATGTTTTCTCCATCTGATTCATGTACTGATTATTCTAATTGTTCTTTTTCTTTTTAAAATAATGATGAGTATGCATATATTATCTATGCAACTGAACACAGATAAGCAATAATCCTTGATAATTCATGAGATTGAATTTGGAGAAATGAGGATATGAATGGTAAATAAAGTGAGAAGAGTTTAAGTTGGTAAGTTGTGAACAAAACTGAACTGAGTAACATCCTACATGATTTGAATTTTTTCTTTTAAGCAATGCAAAGGCAAAACACATGAGTGACTGATATCTCCATATATGCCTTATCTCCTGTTCTGTTTCTCTGACAAAACACCCTGACAGTGAATAAGTTTACAGGGAAAAGATTTATTTCAGCTAACAGTTCTGGATTATAGACCACCTTATCTTGGAAGTCACTGCCACAGAAACTTGAGCCAGAGAGTTACACTGTATCAGTCACAAGCAGAGAGAGAATCAGAACACATAAACTGATTTGCTTCAGTGCCCTCTCGATGTCAATACAGTCCAATACCAGATCAATGAAATGGCACTGCATAAATTCAGAGTGTGTGTGACCTGCCATCTCAATTAACCCATTCGAAGAGATCTCTCATAGGCTGACCTGATCCAGATAATTCTTCATTAACTCTTTCTAGGGGATTCTAGTTTGTGTCAGGCTGACACAGAATCTACCGAAGCTACAGATCAATTTCAGGAAGCACTCTGGTAATGTTGTGAATGAGACAAAAGGAAAGAACACATTCTCAGGGCTTATGGAACATCGGAGAATATCTAACTTTCTGACGAAGGTGGTAAATGGAAGAGATGTGCAAATATGTAGTCCTTAGGATTTAGATGTAGGCTAGTAAGAGTAGGACAAAATACTGAACACATCATTAATACCGTATTAATTCAGCAAAGATTACATATTGAAAATCCATTAGGTTGGCAGTGTAAATAGACATTTGTAAATAGCCAATAGGAATTGGCAAGAAGGGCAGGTTGGAGATAAAACTCACCAAGTTTGGGCTATCTTCAGGTCCACAAATAAAAGATATGTTGCTAGAAAGTGGAGACGCCAGGCCTTAGAGGGTTCAAACAAAAGAATATGCTGTCTTCTCCAGACTTACTAGAGCTTTATCTGTGGTAGGGAGTCTGCATTATCCAATTATTGATATGTTGCTTGGCACACAGTTGGTTGTTTCAGTGAATGGTTAGTGAAGAGCAGAAGGAAATCTGTGTTTTAATTTCTGGCTGATATTTACCTTGAGTAGTACAAACTATAAAACAGTGCTTAAAAATAAGACACAGAAGAAAAATACTAATTCATCCAAAAGAAAATGATTGCATTTTTTACCTGAGTGTCACAAAATGGATAAGAAAGAAATCCACTTAGGGTGAGAGTCCTAGATATAATTGATTTAGGGAAATAACTGGAACATTGACATTTCCCTCTCAGACAGGAGATATTAGTCTAGATCTTCTGTGTAACAATTGCAGATCTAAAGGGATCTTTAATTCCTATACCTAACCCTACTGTCAACCCATTGTATTTAGTCTTCCACATTCCCATAATGCTCTTCTTTCTAGCTATCTATTTACATAACTCACCCACTTAGACTTAGTAGTGTTAAACCTAGTACATAAGCTAAAATGGAATACTGAGGCATTGTTCAAATTTGTTCAAATGTTTCTTGTCATTGCCCACTCTATATAATGCAAGATAAAGCATTTATACAATGTAATGCTTTATGATAAGATAGAAATATCTTTAAATTACTATATAACAAAGATTACCTACTGTATTATCTCATAAACATACTTAAAGCATTAGAAAACTATCATATTCAAATCCTATTTATACAACTCAGAATATAATCAGAGACATTTCCATAGTAATAAGTATTATAATGTGAATATAATGTAATAATTGATAACTTGGAAAACAACACCTAGCGATAACTACAGGCTGGGCTTTTTGAGAGAAGCAGTAACATATCCAAACTACTGACATAAAATAAAAATAAAAATCAGAGATTAAACACATAAAAGTTGGAAAGAATCAGCAAGCCCACCAGTTTTATTCAGTGGTAATTTTCAAAGCAAAAATTATTTTGCCGGGCCATGGTGATGCACGCCTTTAATCCCAGCACTCAGGAGACAGAGGCAGGCGGATCTCTGTTGAGTTCGAGGCTGGGCTGGACCGACAGTCTCCAAAACAATACAGAGAAACCCTGTCTCATAAAAACCAAAAGAAAATCATTTAATTTATAAATACATGGTAATTAAATGGAAAACTTAACAAAATGGGCAAAATGTTACTTCAGAGACATCAGATTGAAAATTAACTTAGTGAGTGTAATTCCTATACAATAGTTGATAAAGCACATTTAAACTTTCACGAGTTTTATTATGTTGTTCTTGTTTTGTTTTGAGACAGGATTTCTTTGTGTAGCCCTTGCTATCTTGTGCTTGTAGACCACACTGGTCTTAATCTCAGAGAAGCCCTGGGTCTGCCTCCTGAAATTAAAGGCATGTACCAGTATATTAGCTGCCTTAAACTTTATACATACCATCTCTAAAATGATGTCTCTGACTTGATTATTTTACTGTCCATCTTTCCCCAAGACTCACATTCAAGGGAGAGTTTGCAATGTGTGTATCCTCTCCTTAACACTACCAGAAAGAAAGGCACTAAGAAATGCTGTCCTGATCCTGCAATATTTCTCAAAAATTTTAAGTAAATAAAACAATTCAAATAAATTATAGAATAAAAGAATGAGCTGGGCCAGTGGGATTACTCATCGGGTAAAGGCACCTGCTGATAACTGTGAAGATTTGAGTTAAATCCCAAGGACCTATGTGGTGGAAGATGAGAACCCACCTATGCAGCTTATCCTCTGACCTCTATACATGAAGGTACATACAAGTACATACAATAGTGCAAACACACAATCAATAGATTGTTAATAAGACTTATTAAAAAACAGTAAGCTATCAAACTTCACAAGGATGACATGACGTGAGCAAATGAATTGGTCATGAGAAGAAGACAAAATTATCAGATTGAACTTTTTCTTCATGTATTTCAAATATTTCAAATGAGACTAGGAAAATTTTCATAAAATCTAATTTAACTGCCTAGTAATTGTCTAACATTCCAGTGAACAAAAAACACACATAAAACATCAATGTAATGCTTAAATGGCTATCATGAAAGTCATTATAAATAAAACCAAGAAAAAACAAATATTGCTTAGTCACTTAACATTCACCTTCAAGCTACAACCACACTACTTAGCAGTGAGCTTAAAATAACAATGTAAGTTATAGGAAAAGGAAAAAAACAGAAATATCTAAGATAGTTCTTATAGCTGAAGAATAGACACAGCCATGCGAGATTTCATAAGGTACCTTTTGTTAGTAATGTATGTCTTGTTTACATATGTATCATCCTTACAGTGAGCTGTGTGTCCATATACTGAAAAATTTTCCCAATTGCATAGACAGGGCTAACTGGCTGTGTGAAGTGTTGAGAATATGGTCATTTTATTTGTATTGTATTAGGTATGTTTGGTACATATATGCACTGTGAACCTCACAACCTATGGAATGGAAACACAGCTGGTGCAGCTGTGAACCTCTTCATTGAGGTTATTAGCTCGGGTGCAGAGCTCTCAGTGATTTAGACACCTCTTTTGTATACAAGAGCATCCATCTGCTTGACACTGTGACTGACACAAGAAAATCTTCAGTCCCACCAGGGATTATAAACAATAATAAAAATTATTTCATTATGAAAGACTATGAGATAACCCATAAAGCAAGTTTACCAGGGTAAAACAAATTGAAGAAGAAAAATCAGGTTGTTTCCATTGAAGTCCAAGGGTTAGATTTTCATAATTTTATCATAGGAGAATTAATGAAGCACATTAGCCTGACAGGAGGATTTCATACATATATTTCTATACACAGTTTCTCCCACACAGTGTTTGTGCAATAGACTTGATAGTAGCAAGTGAATTAATTTTAGGCGATTTACATTTGACAGATTTTAGAAAAAAAAGTGACAAGTTTACACATGGGATGTTTGCAAATCATGAAGACAATTTTTAAAATTAGCCAAAAATATCTAGTGATTCTAACCTGTAATAGTCTTCTTGGAACTTACTCTATAGCTATTGATGACCTTGAACATAGGATGCTCCTTTCTCTCACTCACCAGTGCTAGAATTTCAATCCATCAGCATGCCAGCTGTACATTGCTAGGCAGAGCTGGGGCTTCAAGCATGCTAGTCGAGCACACTACCAATGAGTTATCCTTCCTAGCCTTTCATTCTCCTTTTTAATCATTAAAAACATACAACACGAAGACCAGTTCTTTGACTTTCCTATATGAGTGGCCTGAAATCTGCGATTGCCAATTTAAAAACTACAGATAAACAAAGTGATATCTTAAATAGTTCTACTCACCATGGATGGATGCATGGAATTTGGTTTAGACAGTTATCCCAGTAACATTCTCAAAGGTCTAAGATACAAGAGAAATTAGAGAGCATTAGCACAGCATAATTTATACAACTATTTTTCATGTACTGATTCCATGATATTTGATATTCTTATTTTACACTTCCACAAAGATGTATTCAAACTCACGGTTCTAGTTAATATGAATACTGTCTACCCTAGTTAATATGAATCCTGTCTACCGTTTGTTAGTAATGTATATCCTGTTTACTCACCACATTTCAGACTAAGAGTTCCCTTCCCACCTGCCTGACCTCAGCTTGAACTCTGACCTACAGGAATCACACTGTGAACTTAAAAGAAATAATTCATTCTGGACTCTGACTCAATATTTCCTTTAAACAAAATGAAGAAACTGAAGCCTCAGGCTCTTCTTTGTTCACAATCCTTTGAAAACTTTCTGCGTGGGAAAGCTGTGCTGTAACATTTCACTGTGATAAGATGAAATCAATATCTTCAAATCTATTTTGTTCCATTTACTATATGACCTAATTTATAACTTTAGCAATTATATCACCTGTGAAAAATGTATTTATTTTAAGGTAGCAGTTGCCAAAGTATTTCAAATATACTTGCCAAGCACTTAAATGAAATCAGAAGATTTTTATCAATAAATAATCTTTATTGTTTTTTTTAAATTAGAACAATGAAACAAGGAGAAGCTTGTCTGACTGAGATGTTAGTTCTGAGGCAGAACTGTGACCAGCTCCGGATGTTCGGGGCTTCAGTTCATTGTCTTCCCATGGATTATTTTAAAACACCTTTGTTAAGGCTCTGATATATGTCAAGGACCGAAGTGGACACTAGGGATTCAGTAATGAACAAGACAGACCACCTGACTTCATGAAGCTTAACTCTAACGATCTGAACTCATTAAAATATTGAATACACTTTCACATCTACTTGATTAATACAGAATAAAATGCAATCAGGTAAAACAATTGCAGAATTCAGCTGTACTTGTGAGCCAAGCCTCATTTCCTGTGACTATCTTTTCTTTTACCTTTTAAGTAGTTTTGGCTCACAAAGTGCTTAGCCAAACAACTGGGTATCTTTGACCTGTAGCTAGACATCTTGTTCAAGAATAAAACTTTCTTTAAAAAAACTTTTTAAAATGGAAAGAAACAAACATTCCCCCATTGGATGCTTTCAGACTTCCAACCTTAAAGTGAAGTTTGAAAAAGTGCTGCAGAGACTAAAAGTTCCAAGTATGCAAAGGGCGGGGAAGAGTGAAATCGTGCTCTGAGAACCATTCTGCTGATCGAGTCCTAACTCCTGCTCTGTGTTGGCACTGAGCTCAATGTCCTGTTTACAGTAAGCATTGCAAAAGAATGAAGTCACTTAAAATATGGAGACTGCACCTCTAGATATCTAAAGCACATTCCTTGTTCCATTTTCATAGCTCCTTCTGGTAATACATAAGCAAATTAAATTTAGTTATATTACCTTAATAAGATTGAAATACTAAATACACTGGTATTACCTTCACATGTTACAACTCCAATTTTTCTGCATTATAAAATTATCAGCTAAAATATGAAAAACTAAGTGCCCAAAATAGTATTCTAAAGATTACGACACTTTTGCCAATTTCAACCTTAATTACGGTTCTTTCCAAAATTATAGCAAGTCACAGAAATGCACGTGGACTGTGACAGACTGTTAATCTGTGAATGGGGCAGATGTCTTGATTTTGTATGTACCTTATTTGTTAGTGTGTTTATAGAGAAAAATATCAGTGTATGGTAGAACAAAAGGTTACTGAGAGAGAAGCCTAGCTTGCTCAAAGGTTTGAAACCAGCTGTTATACAAGTTATGCTTACCAGACTCCAACTTTCAGATGCCACAGTTTGTATTTGATCAACCACAATTTCACTTGCAATACAAATGGCAACAGCTCTCTATTACCAACTTATTGACAGCTGCTAAGTCTCTGCCTCCAATTCCCAACTCCCCATTGTTTCCAGGTATCCCCCTACGACCTATGTACCACAAAGCATTTGTAAGGTTTATTTGTCTCTTATCCTGATAGCCAATGCTTTCTTCTCCTTCAAGCACCTCAAATGTGAACTTGCTCAGCTTGCTGCTTCCTTGTGCTTTTCATCCTTCTGTACCAGCAAGTGAGTTCTTAGCTTTGGCTCCAATGTTTCTGACACACTTCTAGCATAGATCCCTAATAGACTTGTGACTATTTGTAGATTTTCACGGACTCTTTCACTGGCTCTTCACCCTTCTTAGATGCCATAATTATTACTGTTGTGTGTGCCAGTGTAAACATATGGAAGTCAGAGGGTGACTTTGTAGAATCAGTTCTCTCCTTCTCCCTTTATGCATGTTCTGGGTATCAAGGATAGACTGTCAGGACTGCGTGCCAAGCACCTTTACCACTGAGCCATCTATTTCTCTTAAACACACTTTTCTCCAAGCTACTATTCCTAATTTTTTCCTTTTCCTCTTAACATCTGCTTCCATTTTATTACAATCACAGCTCTCAGATTCTGATGACCAACTTTTCCCATCCCTAGAGCAATAGCAATATGCAGTTCTACATTATGACTCATATGCCCAGACGCTCAAATATTGGCATCTCCAAACATCTCCATTTACTATAAGTAGACAAATACAAACAGCTAATAGATACTTTTAAAAGTACTTGTTTTCATTACCATCATTAGCCATCACAGAAACTCAAATTAAAACTACTTTGAGATTCCATCTCATCCCTGTCAAAATGGCTGTCATCGAGAAATCAAATGACTACAAAAGATGGCCATGATGTGGGGAAAGGAGCCTTTATTCATTATTGATGTGAGTGCAAGCTGTTGCAGCCACTAGTGAAATCAGTGTTGAGGTTCCTCAAAAAGCTACAAATCACAATATCATATGATCTAGCTACACTATTTCTGGGTTTATACTCAAGGGATTCTATATGCTACAAGATTTCATATCCATGTTCACTGCTGTTATAATCAAAATTGCTAGGAAATGGAACCAGTCATGCTGTCTATAAATTGATGAATTGAGAAACAAAATGAGGTACACATACTCTGGTTTCTCTTCAGATCATTTAAATATTTTGCCTTTTACTAAAATGTGATACATATACAAAATGAACTTTATTCAGTTACAATGAAAAATTGAATTCACACAAAAATGTATAGATAGAACTAGAAAAAAATTTACTCAGTAAAATTTGCAAGTCTAGAATGATAAATGTCATATGTTGTCTCTTTCACGTGAACCTTAGCTTCAAATAACTGGATTTGTGCATTTAACTTGGAATACACGGAGAATCCAGGAAAACTCTTAAGGGGCCATTGTGGCACAGAAAAACTTAAAGGAATTTGGGTAGTGGACATGTAATATTAAAAAAGAATTATACTAGAGGTTTAAATATTTAAGCAGGGATGGAATGAGGGAATGGTGGATACGAAGGGGTGAGAGGTAAGGCTGACCAAGATGAAAAAAGAATGAAAAATTCATTTGGAATTCTGTACTTTGCAATCCAATTAAAAATTATATGTTAACAAAACGAATTTTAAAGTTTATATCCTGCATAGCTCAACAGCGCTGCACCTCAAACTCATGGATTTTTAAACAAAAATCAAAGAACCAGGCATGAAGTACTTCCCAAATTCCCCCAAACAAAACAGCCTCTTGCTATTGCTCATGGCTTCCCAATAGAACCAGATAATAAGACACTATTGTTGAAGACACCAAACACATTTGTTTACATGTAGAGAAATCAATTTATAACTGAATTGGAAGCTTCTTTCCCATATAAAAGCCTACACAGTGTCAGAGATGATATGTAGATTGTTGGGGTGGGAGTGGGGTGGGTGGGCATCAGTGGTCTCACCCATCTGTGAGTTGAATAAAATATAACACCATCCTGACAGCCATAATGTTCACAATGCTGTAGTAATGACATGACTGTTATGGAAGTAAGCAACTACTCCCTCAATGTGTCTGATTCCTAAACCAGAGTAGTGAATTCATACCTTGTACCATAAACCTGGTTTTAAAAAGTTGGGAGACAAGGTCTTAGGCCATACAGGGAATCATACTACTGTTATTGAGCTAAATTGATACAGCATCAAACTGCTTTCTAAATATTTATGTTTATACTCATAGACAAATATTCAGAGAAGATTCCCTTTTTAACAAATAGGGTGTATGCAAAGACTCATGGCTGTTTAACATGTTGACAATAAGTGGTGTCTGAATGCTCAATCCTCAATGAGAATTACATCCTTTCTCAGAAGTATGGGATATCACAGTAGAGGTGTTGGGAAGATTGGGAAGGCAAAACAGCAAGGAAAAGAGCTGTCACATACTGTCTTCTATGTGCCATATCAGTTATGACTGTCTGTGCTGAACTTTCAGAAGAATGTGAAGCAACCTATAACGTGGGTGGTGGTGACAACAGTGCCTAACACCTCCTTGCTGAACTACTTGCTCCTAATGGATTCTGAGAGAGAAAGAGTCATTGTTTTCTGTTTTATACCCCCATTGATGACCCCACCAGGGATCAGTGAACAATCTTGGTAAACCCCAGTGTGCAACAAAACAAAACACAAACAAGTGCATATTGGAAAGGTAACTTGTAGGGAAGGGGATACGTTTTCAAGAGAAACCAGAGTGCATTATGTACACCTAGAAGAAATTTAAAAATAGTGATTAAAAATTTCTTACAGGTATTAAAAGAGCCTCTTCCTCAAACTATTGCTTCTTCTGGCTGACTTGCTGCACCACACAATTCCTTCAACGAGGGATTGAAATTTCTGATAAAATGAGACAATGTCAATCTTCCTCCCCATAGGTTGTTTTTGTTGGTTAATGTGGTACCCATTATATAAAAGTAAATAATATACTTACATCCTATTTCCGTCTGTGAGTAGCTCAACTCTCCACTCACTAACTTAAAACAGATGTCTGGGAATTAAGCCAGTATTACTGCATTTCCTAAACTGTCTAATTTTCATTGACGATGAGGCCTTGCCT